ACCTATATTGATTGATCCTAATTTTCAAGAATATTACCTTCCCTTCTACCATTGCAAATCATCTTATTTTGTTTTCTTTTTTTAAAAAAAAACTTTTTGTAAAAAAATAAAATAAAAAGCAACTTGCAATAACAAAAGCATGTAATAAAACCAAATTGAAGGAACATTTGATTTGATCTATTTCATACTATTTTTATAATGCATGTTACAAAACAATAGGAAAAGTAGAACAATAATATTAGTACCTTGGTAATATGTTTAATAAAGATAGAAAATGGAGAATTGTAAGATATTGGTAGAAAATGGAAGATAGAATGTGGTCTTATGCAAAAATGTTTTTATAGAAAGAAGTGAATGTATCTAAGAGCATGTTTCTGCCTTTTTTGTTAATATGAATGTGCAATATGTCATAAATTATGTCATAGACAAACATGTTGAATGCAGTGGGGGTATGCTACTTAAGAACCACTGTAGTAAGTAAGAAGAAATAACAAAAGATCAGTAATTAATGTATGTTGAAAGTGACTGGATGCAAAAGGGACTGTCTATACAGTGATTTGGTTGTCTTGAGTGAGAATCAAATCGCAAAACAAACATGAAGGAAGAGTCAATTGGCTCAAAGAAAAGGGAAGACGGGAAATTATGAGTGAATAAAATTAATAAGATCCTCAGAAAAAGAAATGTGAGCAGTTCAAAGAACAAATGACAATGTATGAATCAAGATATGGACCTAATGCACAGGTGTTAAACTTGCAGCGTCATGTTGCCATCATGTGATGTTTTGTGACATTTTTCCCCTTCGCAGAGTTGGGGTGAGCACATTACACCAGTTTGACACTCTTGCTCTAATGGAATGATATGTTGAAAAGATAGAAAGATATAGAAAAGTACAACAAGCAATGTTGATGGAAACTAAACGACAGCAAGCAGCCTAGATATTCTGTGACTGACAGCCATCATAGCAGCTTTTTTATGAAGAGACATGTTCTAGTAGAACAGCATTTTATAGAGGATTCTCAAAATTCCTCCAAAATCGAAATGATACCTACTTCTGAATATTCACCTGAACAAGGTGGAGGAACAGCTTTTCTGACAGGAATAGGCTTTAATAGATCAATACTAACATACAGTTATGTTGCCATTAGTCCTATTTTTAAAATTAGTGTTAATTATACAATAAAGTATTTCTAAGATAATAAAAAACCATTTTTGTAAGGTTAAGTAAGGTTCTACATTTAGACAACAAAAATGAAATGCACAGGTACCGTACAGGTGGTACCTTGCTCAACAGTAAAGGGATCAACAGTAACTGTGAAAGGGATCTTGGAGTCCTAGTGGACAACCATTTAAATATGAGCCAACAGTGTGCAGCAGCTGCCAAAAAAGCCAACACAGTTCTAGGCTACATAAACAGAGGGATAGAATCAAGATCATGTGAAGTGTTAATACCACTTTATAATGCCTTGGTAAGGCCACACTTGGAATACTGCATTCAGTAGAAAAGATGTGGAGACTCTAGAAAGAGTGCAGAGAAGAGTAACAAAGATGATTAGGGGGCTGGAGACTAAAACATATGAAGAAAAGTTGCAGGAACTGGATATGTCTGGTTTAATGAAAAGAAGGACTAAGGGGAGACATGATAGCAGTGTTCCAATATCTCAGGGGTTGCCAC